ATTTTTTGATAACAATGTTCTTCACTGTGCATCATGTTTTGAGGATCTCTGTGTTCGGATTTTTGTATTATTCAAGGTTTTGGCCAATGTCAGATATAAAATAAGGGTAATACGTTGGTCTGCACTTGTTAAGCGGAACAGTATGTAAAGGTAAAATGTATGAATGTGAAAAAAAGTGCAACACAATACTTAAAGAAAGAATCCCTAAACGGTAAAAAAGGACAAAATTGAAAATGCTGCAGGCTCGGCTTGATCAAGCCTTTTGTTGCACGTTATTGGAAGGTGTGACTTACTGTACATGCCCTTAGCACCGGCTTAAACAGAAAAACAAAGTTTCAAAACCGTAAGAGAAAATCGCAATATCAATCTACATCACAATTGTTATCTTAACAATATCCAGTTAAGTATATCATCTATAAGGTAAGTAAAAGATTGTGAACACGCAGACATATAGTATGTATACAAAGCTATTGGTTCGAAACCTGAAATAAGTCCTATCCTCAGTGATGTCAAGATCAGGAATGTGGCAAAAAACACGTTATATCTACTGTATAATGTAAAGACGGACACCTCGGAGACATAACTTTTCATTGACTACGTGGGTTAGAAGAAAATTATATCTGAAAACTACTATAATTTATGAATCTTAGTTTGCAAAGAAACATTTGTTTCGTAAAACATTGAAATAAACATACATAGATTTAAATATAAGAACCTTATAAGCAAGAAGGATAAACATAAAAACGAGAGTGTTCGTTCTTCAATAACAAGTCAATGCTATATAGTCTATAACTATTCAAACATTTTAATGATAAGACTTTCCGGTTTGCTTGAAAAAAATATAATTCCTTTCAATTTAATAATCCGACATAACATAAACTATTTGTTAATTAAGCTCTTCAGTTGTTGAATGCACATTCACGTAGTATATAATATCTATGCAAGTATCCATAATACACTTATTTTTACATCAATATCATGCATATCTTACCAGAACCTCTGTATTCTTTTCTATACTGTATAGAGATTTGTATTTATATTCAAAAATAAATATTAGTGTTACAAATGCTTTGTCTTCTGTGCCTATCTTGACCGTTCTATATTAATTTGATTTCAACACAGTGCTTTCCAGATAAAATCTTTATTGTTCAACTTGAATAATACCACATGTTGAAACAAGCAAACAAGCAAATATCGGTCGACAAATTAAACAAAATATCATTCTAAATCACTTAAATATTTACAGCTAACAGTTACAATTTGTTTATACTTTTGTACTCCAGTTGCCATTGTATACATACATAATTGTCGTTAAATTAATCTAGAAAAATCTTAAAGTGAGGTCATTTAAAATGTTAGAAACATATTTATCCATTTAAACTGCTCTCAAAAGCGGCGATAAGGATATATCATCCTTACGAACTGTAAACTAAATAAAGAAAAAATCTAGAAATAAAGTGATCCCTCGGAAGCATTAATCACAACACAATTACATGACAATTGCAAACTTGGTTTGATTGAGTCTGTACATGAGGGATAATGAAAAGGTGCCACATCCCTCACCTACCCTAGCACCAGCTTTAGTGGTACTCAATTTTCAATACAAAGCCGCGATTTTAACATAAACAAATAAACATATATATTTTTGCTCGATTGAGAAACAAATTCTCAACACTTTTAAAATTAATTGATTGTAACATATTAAATTCACACATTGACGAGTTTAATATCATGAATTTATGTTTTCAGTGTCATTACTTCAGGATTTTAACTTCACAAATATGATTGCTTATTTAACTTCATTAATCTGATCATAACAGTAACTGTTCAAAATTTATGATTTTGCGTGTTTAAACTAAATATATATAGTATGTTATTCATTTACAGTACAATGTATCGTTTATGCTTGAATTAATAAATTCTTCCTAAAGTAATGATTTAAGGGGCTGTTGTATAATTGCAAGAAAAATATTTTTGTTCTTTTTGACCAGATCAGTCCGAATATTTTCATGTCTAAACATTTGAATAGCTTAAAATGGAGTCACTGGTGCATACCCACAGAATTGAAAGAGGAAGTTATGAACAGGTTTTTTTTTTGGTAGTGATTAATCAGGTGAATATATGTTATATATTTTGTTCATTTTAGGAATGTCTAGTGATATTTTTTAACTTCTTCCGCTTTTTTTCAAACAGGAATCACGGATATAAGTTTTTATTCTCAATGTAATTATACAAGTCATGCTTCTTTTTAAAAGCTTAATTTTAACTTAATGCTTTTTGTATAATACTTCCGACATGTCTTAAATATTTTATTTTAATTCATCTTAAACTTCTTATACAGACGACATACTAGAAGTTACACTTTTAATTGTAAGCAAAAACTATGAAGTATAATTAAAAAACATTGTTTATTCATGCTTTAAACATATATTTGAACAAATATCCTATAAATTATCCGGAAAAAAGTTGGTCTCCAGGAAACATTAACCTAATAGTTAATCGTATAAATAACGTAATGTATATTATTCGCATTTTTTAGATTGACTTGTCTATATAAATGCAGTATGATGTTGTCTAAGGAAACGTCGGCATTTATATTAGTGTTGTTTGTGGATATGGTCTTTACTGGTAAGTTCTTTTACTTCAAGATAATTTGTATTGAAGAAAACAAATGTGTGAATTGTTGTAAAAACGTTTCCTTTCATATACTTAATGCACCTTTAAAATGTTTCCATTTTATTATAATACTATTTTTTTAATTATTATTTACTTATTTTTTGTGTTCACGTTTATGACAAATATGACTTAGCATATTTATGGTTCTTAACATTGTATATTTTGAAATATTGCTGAAATTATGCAAATTGGCAAAAATATTCATATTTACAGAATGTTCTGTTGGCTGTCAATCATCCTCCGGTTCAACTTGCACAATTTGTGAATCATCTTACTATTTATTAAATGGCTTTTGTTCACCATGTCCCGAAAATTGTGAAAGCTGTAACAGCTACGATGACTGTACGTCATGTAAGCCAAATAAATATGGTTTTCATGCAAGATGTTCTTTTAATTGTGATGGTAACTTTCTAAATAGTGAATGCGATGATGATACGGGATATTGTACTGAATGTAAGCCTGGTATCTATGGATATCAATGTCAATTCAACTGTAGTTTTTGTGTCGATGAACGTTGTGATTTACGTACCTGTTCTAACGGTTGTAAAGCTGTACAACAATATGTCAAACATGTCCTTCAAACTGTAAACATTGTACGGATTGGAAAACATGTTATACTTGCAATGATGGTTTTAGTCTTTATGCGTTTAATGACAACTTTCACTGTTTGTCATGCTTTCAAAACCCGCAATGTCCGAACTGTGTTATTCAAGGTTGTAACAAGTGTCAAATACACAATGATTCGTTAGTATGTGCTGATTGTCCAGAGGGACAAGTATTCAATGGTAAAACATTTGAAGAAGTCAAATAAATTATAGATTATTATGTAAATGGGTCTTTTTCAGTTCTCGAATGTACCTACACATGGTACATTGTATAAGGTATATATTTGAAACACCATACTCAACTGATGGTATAAGGACAAACTGTTTGGACAAAGAAACAATGAGTAACCTTCTGACAAATAAAACCATTTAAGTTTAATCATTTAAATATGTATACGCCAGCTTACAGTTATATTTTGTTTCCATTTTGGTACATAAATTGCTATTATATACATACATAATTGGCGATAAATGTTGTAGGTAGGAATTTTACTTACATGTTTACAAAAATGTCATACATTCAACTTGCTTGAACGTAACTGGACTAACAGCATTTCAATTAATTGTTACTGCTTTTAGCTGTAATTAAAACTAATCCAATTACTAGTAATGCACTTAGTTCTTCTTGGTGTATACAGTTTACAGTGTTATTTAGCGTTGACATGTACAATTACTATTGTTGATCATTCGAAACATCTCGCCGATTAACAAAATTATTTTCTGAATTCATTAGCACCGTGTATATCTGAGCCATTACCCAATTATTCCGTATCATAGTTCACTGAAATAAGCTGTTAAAATGTGACTGAGACAATTATTTCGAGGTAACGGCGAATTCGTGGCTGATGATGGATCGAACTATTTGTATATATGTTTCAATTTTGTAGCGTAGATATGAGTACCTTATCTGTGTAGTTCGACGTCCTTATCCGAAGTTTGACGGGGAAAGGCCGGAAAGCTGACAAAACAATGTTTCAAAAAATGTATTTGCCAATTATAAAACCAATTTAGTTTAAAAATGAAGCTGATTTATTAAGGAATGGCTCAATTATTCCGGCTGACCGTACAAATTTACTGAACATGTTTTAAGTATTATGTCTAAACATATTCATAAGTATACATTTTCCATTTCAAAATAAATGCGCAACTCCTGAAATATTTCAATGAAATGTTTAATTTAGACAGAAAGAGAATTATTCAAAATTCTGTTAAAACTGAATTCATTTCCATTCAATTACAAAAAAAATTCCATTTTTTGAAGTATTCTCGTAAACTGAGTAATGGGTCCCGTTAAAATTACTTGTATGAAGAATATAATACCTCAACTGAACGATCTGGCGATTAAAAATTCACAATTTTAACATTTTAGTAATGTATTAATTTTATGAATTAACCTTTGAACTTCATGATCCGAACCTCACAAATTCGCAATTTAAACTACATGTATTTTAACCCGACACTTTCAAATTCATGAATTAAATTTCATCATGAGTTATTCTTTCAACTTCACGAATTCAATTTATTGAGTATATTTTGCAAATTTGCAAAGATACAATTATAATAAATTCATGACGTTACAATTTATTAAGTCAATATTATGAAGACGTGAATTTGTAATTGAAATCGTAAAAATATGAAGTTACATGTTTTAAGTGCTTTCGCCCGAACCAACCTCTTACCAATACATATGCGTCTAAAATAGCACTTAGGAGCGCCATATAGAGAGTCACTGATGCATAATGTACCTATTCAAAAGTTTATATTCTATGCACAACATTTAAGGAGGAAGTTTTGAAAGAGGATTAATCAAAGTAACCACACATCTATTGTTTGTTTTATAAAAACAGGAAAAAAAAACGGATATCAGTATTGTAAGAATATTTTAACATTTTAACACTGTATCATTTTAACAATAAGTATTCATAATTATTCATAATGTTGTAAGTCTCACTTTTCATGTTTAAAAGTGTCTTATCACTCTATATAGGGTACGCAATATGCCTAAAACTGTTTTATTTTAAACATTGTTAAAGGAGTTTATACCTTCTAAGACAAAGGATATACTATAGTGCCATTTCGCCTTTTTAGTAAAAGTATAACCAAAAAATGAAGATTAATAAACGTAATATCGTGCAGTTATACTTAAACGTGTTTCATTTGAAAACATTTCAATAAGTTGATCACAATCGATATGTATACTATTTTGTTTCAGATTTAAGTCAGGTTTAAGTCCATACATAAATACAGAATAATGTTTCCTAAGGAAACTTTAGCATTAGTACTAGTACTGTTTGTTGATATGGTATTTGCTGGTAAGTAATACTATTTCATAACAATTTAAAAACTGTTTCCTTAATTTCTTTAATTCCTTTGCATACATGAATATGGAATAGGTTTCCTCAGAAAACTTCATTAGTACTTAAACTGTTTGTTAATATAGTATTTGCTGTTAATCTGTTCTCTTTCATAAAAAATGAACTGTGACATATTTTCTTTAATATCTCAAATGCCTCTTAAAATATTTAAAATCCCTAAAAATATTCTTTTGCAGAAAAAAAAAATTAGTTTTCTATGGTCACGTCTAAAATTTAAGTTCTTTTAAACTGGCTAAGACATTTTTTATACTTATATTATTTATTATTAAATATGAATAACTAAAATACATGTAAAATAGACAAAAATATATCAATTACAGAATGTTCTGTTTGATGCAAATCATGCTCTGGTTCAACTTGCACAAGTTGTGAATCATCTTACTTTTTAACAAATGGCTTCTGTTCACCTTGTCCTCAAGATTGTGAATGATGTAACAGCTACGATGACTGTACTTTATGTAAGCCAAATAATTATGGCTTACATGCAAGATGTGCTTTCAACTGTGATGGTAATTGTCTAAACAGTGAATGCCAAGATGATACGGGATTGTGTACGCAATGTAAGCCTGGTTTCTATGGAGTTCAATGTCAACATAATTGTAGTTTATGTGATAATGAACGTTGTGATTTACGTTTCTGCTCTAGTGGTTGTAGAGCTGGTTATTATGAGTATAAAACCGGTGTGAAATCAATATGTCAAACATGTCCTTCAAATTGTAAACGTTGTAGGGATGGGAAAACATGTTATATTTGCAATGATGGTTTTAGTCTTTTTAAGTTAAATGACAACGTTCACTGTTTGTCATGTTTGCAAGAAAAGCAATGTCCGAACTGTATTATTCAAGGTTGTGGTCAGTGTCAAATACACAATGATTCGCTAGTCTGCGCTGATTGTCCAGAAGGACAAATTTTCAATGGTACAACATGCGGATCACACACATCATTGTGCTCAAAAGAATGTTCTACGAATTGTGATAGTACTGGAATATGTCAAGGAGAATGTAATGAGGGCTGGACTGGTGAGAAATGCTCCAAACAATGTAACAGCAAGTGTTTAAAATGCTCATAATATAACTGAAATAGTTGTCTACTGTGTGTTGGTAATTTTTACTCAACCGATTGCAGTTTAGCCTGCAACCCGGCATGCATAGTAAAAAGTGGTAAACGTACATGTGAACATACTGACGGATATTGTTTAAACGGATGTAACCAAACATTTTGGGGCGATACTTGTGAGCAACATTGTCCTGGTGGATGTAAAGATCTTAAATGTGATAGAAACAACGGTGCATGTACGAATGGATGTAAGGATGGACTGACCGGAGATAAATGTACTCAAACTATCGCAATCGGTAAACAATCTTCATATGATAACTGTTATAACTATTATTTTTAAAATAACTAATTTATAAGTAACTCATATTGATTAAATCAAATTCATAATTACCATAAATATTGCATATATATTTAATTATTCACCCTTATTATAGTGGCATAGCAGGGATATTGGAAATACTTTATTTGCCTTGTTTACACGTAAAGGAAATTACTTTGGACGTAGTTAATACGTTTTTGGTTTTTACTCGTGTAAAGTAACTTAAGATATAATACGCACTATTGACTATTAACTTATTCTCACTGAATCATACTCATAGCAAATATAGATATATAGTCATTATGTTTCGCCATTTACTTGCTTTATGGTAGCATTTAAGAGATATTGATCAGTGATCAGAAAGACCATTCTAGTCATTCTAGTTGGCCAGCTCGGAAATCGAACTCTCAATGTTGAGATAACAAATTCTGCGCTGTAACCGATTAGGCTGGGCGAGCTGACTTGATATAGACGACTGTTTGTGCAGTTTACAAATTTCTCCAGTACTCATTAGACTACAGTTAGGGTGATATCTATTTCACGTCAATGTTATAACTACAGAAACATCAGTGACAACAACAACAACAACATCAGCCGAATCTGTAACACAACAACAATCATGTGCACGGTGTGAAGATAAAGTTAATAATTTTGCCATTATATATTTCTCTGGATTCGGATCTTGTGTTGCCATAGAAGTATTTGCTGTATTGTTTTACCTTATAAGACGAAGGTGAATGTTTATTTACAAATTTTAAACTATACAACATGCTTGTCTTGAAGGCATTTTACTGATGAATTTAATGAAAACAACAACAACAACAACAACAACAATAATAATCATAATACAGTAGGGTGAACGTTTCGGTTGTCAAAAATAGCGTTTTTCGTGCGTCCGTTTTTCGTGTAACGTGCGTGCGTATAGCGTGCAACGTGCGTTTGCTGAAACGCTTTCTCAAGCGTGCATCGTTTACAAGCGTTTAACGTTTATCGTTTTCCGTGTATCGTTTTTCGTTGATCGTGCGTCTGAAAGCGTGCGTTTCTTATTCCCAGAAACGTTTAGCGTGCGTCTGCGTTCGTCTAAGCGCTTAAGTACCGTGTTTTGCGTCTGTTAACTTACTATTGAGAAGTAAAAGAATATCTTAGATATATTATGTAAATTTCTTGTTTCTTAAACCTGAAAGAGATGTTCTGTGTCCCTGTCAAATATTAGAAATATTATATAAAGAAGTATTATTGTGATATTTACATTAAAGTTTTAAAGTTTGTGACCTCGCGGTGAAGACTGGTCAGATTTCTACATACTTTACGCCGAAGATTTATTAGTTTTTAATTATCCTATTTACATACGCATAAGATATAATTACTAATTAATTGCAACATTTTTGATATTCAATTCAGCAAACAGGTGTTTATATGCGTACCAATATATATTAGATATGAAGTTCGTCAGACATCAAATGATGTGATCAGACTAGCACCCCACCCCCTTTACAAGTCATCTTCTGACTTTTCATCAAAGACTGTCCGAATCCTATCCGAATACTATTTAGGGTGATAATTATTTAGACAGTTCCTTCCTATTTTTCTTGACAGATTTATATTGATATGTAACAGCCTGGCAGGGACTCGAACCCCTGACACTCGGAATACGATTCCGCGGCTCTTGAGTTCCTCTGAGCTATTCGGCTGCTTAATTACACGTTTTACTTGTTTAGATACTGAATAGTTATAAACCTACTGTGTATGCAAATATTTCTTCGAATTTCCCACGGTTACGTACTTAGCATTGTGAATTAATTTCTAGCTGGGCTATACAAATGTATGTCAGTCACAGGGTGAGAAAAAAGTGCATCCTGACATGGACTCGAACCCGTGACCCTCTAAATACCGTACCGCAGCTGTACCGACATTTGTTAATAGTTTCATTATTTGTACATGTAAAGTGAACATTTTAATAATTATACATTGTACATTGTACTATTTCTATATATTTGTACAAATAAAAATAGCTAGATTTTTTTCTAGATAAAAAATTCTATGGTGGCTAAAATATACCATGTTGTACTTTTTAGACATGTAATCACAACAGACAGGCTAAGCCACCCTTTACAAAATTCCCCTATCTGTCAGCTCATAATCAAGGCATAGACTACTATTTTTGTATGTGGCCTGGGCTTTTACTGTTCTTTTACAAACCGTATAACACTGATAGCGAACAGATGCGCAGGCTGGTCTGGATCCATGCTGGTCGCAAACCCATTGTTGGTTTTATCGTGACGCGGCTCAAATATATCTTAATCTTATATGAGGTCCATAATATAACCCACTTTGATAAACATATATAGCTTTCTTGGTTTTTTTCTGTATATTATCTAAAATCACTATAAAGGTTTATCAATCCGTAATCATTACTTAACATAATACCCCTTTGAGATACCCGAGATGAGCCTGTGTCGCCCTTTGCTAACTTAAAAGTATGTAACCTTTCCATATATAACCATATAATTCTTTGAAGATTTTTCTCAGCTGAGTTAGATAGGTATGCTGTAGTCCCAAGTCACTTGTTTAACTTCCCTCAAGTAAGTTATAAACCTCATAACTGATAAAATTCTAACTATAATATACTTAAATATCACCTATGTATTTATATAAATTTACAAAAACCCATTTTGCATACTAATATATCTTTTGGGACCTGTACAATTTCAATTGATTGTAATTTTAATTTTCCTACAATATCAATTTTATGCTTCATAGGTAGGTCAGTTCATTAAAAAGAGCATAATACAAGATCCCTATGAAAAGTAATGTAATTGATAACTCAATCCAAATAAACTTTATTAATTAAAAGCTTTAATAAGATGACTTAAAAAAGAAGATTTCAATAATTGTCCATGAAAAATATAAATGTTATATAGTAAATTCTATGTGGACCCCAACTATTAAAGTAAGCAGTGCCACATAAAATCCACATAAAATGTTGATACACCGGGTAATTTTACCTTAAACTTAACCTCTTAGGAAATGATACAGATTTTTTTTATATAACATAAACCTATTATATTAATTAACAAACATATCTAATTGACTAAAATAAGGTAGTCCTAACAAATTTCATTACAAAATATGAGAATTATGGCAAATCTCCTAAGATGCCTAAATGTCCAAGATAATGCACTAAATCACTACAAAATATGAAAATTTTACCTAATTATAAGAGCCTTGGAAATTAAACAAAGCTATAAGAGAAACATTAATCTATGATATTAATTAACAAACCTATCTAATTGACTAAAGTAAGGAAGTCCCACCAAATTTCATTACAAAATATAAGAGTTATTGCAAATTTCCTAAGATACCTTACTATCTTAAGATAGAACACAAATTCACTACAAAATGGGGATTTTTACCTTATTATAACAGCCTAGGAAATGATGCAACATAAATCTTTTATATTAATTAACAAGCATATCTAATTGATTAAAATAAGAATATCTCAATAAATTACATTGAATATTCAAAAAATTATGGCTTATTTCCTATGATGTATAACTATACAAGCTTACACACTTATTCATTAAAAATGGGAGTAATATTACCTGATTATAACCTCATGATAAATGAATCAAAGTTATATAAGCAACATATTATTATTATTATTATATTAAGTTATACCTACATCAAATTGACTTATATAAGAAAATCCCAACAAATTTCATTGAAAATTAAGAAATAATGGCTAATTTTCTATAATGCCTTATTAATAACTTTACCACACTAAATCGTTCAAAATTTGGGTAAGTTTACCAAGTTATAACCTTCTGGTCATTGAAACAAATTAGGTAAAGCCAAATAAAGTTATACTATCAAGTAACTACTACATCTAATTGACTAAAATAAGAAAACCCCATTGAATTATATTGACAATGAAGAACGATAGGGTAAATTTTCTATGATGCCTATTTGTTCAAGCAAATACATTACATCTTTAAAAATGGGGGTAATTTTACCTTATTATAACCTCCTAGGAACCAAGTTAGTAAGGCAACATATTACTATAATATTAAGTAAATATTACATCTGGTTGATTGATATGGAAAAAAAATCCACCAAATTTCATTGAAAAATAAAAAAAGGTATGGCAAATGTCCTAAAATGCAGACAGAGGGGTTCAGATCCACTATCAGTAAGGAAGTGTTCCCTTCCCCGTCAGGGGACCATTACTGGCATGGTATATGGAATCACAAAAAAAGATACTGTAAAACTGATTTTTTCATTTTTACAGCTCAGAACTGTTCACTATTGAGGGGAGAAGATGTGCAAGCAGACTGATAGCTTAGCCGGTAGTCAGCTTCGACACTGTATTCAAGGGGTCCCTGGCTCAAGTCCCAGTCAGGCTACATATTTTTCTCACCCTTTGACATTTAACTCCCAACAGTTAGTAATAAAACAATGTGTAATTGGCCTTGAAGTTTCAATACCATCACCTATTCCAAAGGGGACTGTGATGGATGGTATAAAACTCAAAGTCCTATTTCACATTGTTCACTGTACCCATTCAAGGACAAATTTCAATAAAGCAGGGGAATATGTAATGGTTCCGAATTGTTCACTATATAGGGAGATGATGTTTAAGCAGCCTAATACAATATAGTTCAGTCGGTTGAGTGGCAAAACGGTATTCCAAGGGTCCCGGGTTAAAGTCCTGGTGAGGCAGCACCTTTCTTTTTTTACTTGTGACAGTAACAAAAAAGGAAGGTATTAGGCATTTAATGTTCCTTAATAATAATATAGCATATTATAACATATAGTGCATAAAATGTCAATAAATTTCAATTTCATTACTATGAAACATATTTTCTGATGCGCTGCTCTTTTGGTAAATCCATATATATACTTTACAGTTTAAACATGATTCACAAATTATTGGAGTCCAACACTCCTCCCCTCCTGGCACTTATTGATCGAGGTGTATGAGGTTGACAAGTTTCTCATTTTTTTCTCGCTTACAGTTTTGGGCCCAAAATAGAAGTTTATTCTTAATATAACACTTTAATTCATTAAATTTCATTAGGCTTTTCACACTTCTATAATCGTTCTTATCTGTTATATTAAAACATATTCTATCAATATCTTTTTATTGAATTTATTTTTTTGAAAAAAAAAAGAATAAATATATGCATGTAGTTTTACAGCTGTTTGGAGTTTGGATGTGAGGAATTATATCATGAGGGCGTAGCCCCAGTGATATAATGATGCACATTCGACAAATAGTGATGTTATCAAGCGATAAAATCACTGATTTGGATATACTATATAACAATCTTACACCGGCTGCCGGTACAGACCGGAATATCTAGCTCGACGGTAACTGTTTACAGCGGTAACGAGGCTCTGCCGAGTTTCCGCTAAACAGTTACCCGAGAGCTAGATATTCACGTCTGTACCAACAGCCGGTGTTTGATTCTTTTTCTTGCATATTGCATGTCGATTATTTTCGGAACAGAGATTATGAAAACTGATATTCTCATTACGCACCTTTTTCTTATAGTAGCGTATGAACATACAACTTCATTCATAACGGAAAAATGACGTCATCATAAGAAGGCGATTCATTCATAAAAGGCGCGCGTCAATGACGTCATTTAACGCACGCGACTTGTCTTACATGGGGGTGTAAGACAGAGTTTTCTAGCACCGGCGAAAACGGTAGATAATCCTGTCTGAGATGCAAGAATTTTGATTCTAACACGACATCAACAAATAAATGTTGCCGTACTTGATAGTTAAGCAAATTTGCGCCTGATTTGTTTCCGTACTTATTTTCAGCGCGTCAGATTTTTAGTGGTTACGTCACGTGTATAATGTCACATGTCTAAATATAGAATGTCAAACTGTGCATCTGTTGCATAATAACACACACTTTCTGTTCTTCTATGTTCAATAGGGTAAATGCGGGTCATGTTAGAATATATCATAACCCATAATGCATGGTATTTATTATATATATTTTCAAATTGAAAAAATGGTGGTTAAAAATTGAGGTTGAAACTTTCAAGGCAGAAACGTCCAGGAGGTGTAAAGTCCTGAAACATATAGATTTAGCCCTTGTCTGGAAAATATGTTGGGCTGCCGGTCTGCAATGTATGTTTTCCTTTATTTAAAAAGGTCATGTATTAATTTTGTTCGCCTGTATGTAAATAATTTGATAATTTGATTGCTGATTTGCTAAAGTTACTACCATTCGTTTTATTTTGTTTACGCCAGAAGAGGTGTCGAAGTAATTATTATCTATCTAAGAGATTCCTGGTATAAAGCAAAGTATTTTTTCAGAAATGTGCATAAAGACAACCCTGTTAAATCATTTTTATTGCATGTATTAGCGCTTGATGGCTTGTTATTTTAATAATCATTTGTTTAGGCTGCCCGACAAAAAATAATACTGTGTGCATTCGCGGATTGATGTCTTTACAGCTTTAACCTGGGACATAAGATAAGTTAGTTAACATAAACCCGCTTAAAATACATGAATGGCTACCTATCATTTAATCAAATCACTAAACGATCTAGCTAAAGTTGTTAAAAATTTATATGATAAGGATATTTTATTAACATTTAGAAACGTTTTCTATTTTGTGTGCGTTTTAGCGTGCGTATATCGTTAAGCGTATTTCGTTTTGCTTGCGTCTGAGTATTTCGTTTCATAAAGCGTGCATGTAACGTGCGTTCGTTTAGCATGTAACGTGCATGCGTTTTTTCCTGAACTTGCGTTTTGCATGTAAACTGGAACATTCACCCTACTGGGATCACAAAACACCAAAAAGAAGACCTTTTAAAAGGGGAAAAAAAAAGTAGTTTTTCAAATTTTCACGCCTATAGGGATTAAAGCTTAAAAAAATTTTTGCGGGGTTTTTTTCCAATGTTTTTTTATAACGGGTAATTGGGCGTTTACGGGCAAAAATTTTGTGCAAACCCATGTCAAAAACCATTTTTTACTTTAGTGGCAAAATTTAAACACAGGGTGTTGATTTAAACATATTAAAAACATATTTTAAACCCCAAATTTAATAAAATTTTTAAAATTTTTTGTGAAAAAGAAAAATATTTTTTGTTGTGGGCCCTCTTTTTTAAAACCAATAACTTTAAAATCAAAAACCTTTCCCTTTTTTTCCCCATTTTTTTTCCCCTCGATTACAGTTTCAGGGCCTAAAATAAAAATTTCCCTTCTTTAAAAATTTTATTTACTCATATATTGTAATGCCCTAAAAAGTTTACCTTTTTTGGTGATTTCACTGGATTTCAGTATTGTTTATTTCTACTTTCACTTTCGTTCTGAGAAACTTTAACTGGCGACAAAACAGTAAATCATGCGGTGTCCAAATGAAACATTCAGGACATCAACTTAAATCTACGTATTGTGCCAGCAATTTAATCATTCTTGATTCTGGAATTCGAAGCTTTTCCTTTAATGTTATCCATTTCCCTGAATGTTATCCGTGGCAGAATATTGTGTTTGTTTTTAATCTGTTTTCGTGACTTCTGTCAAAATAGTTAATTCCTTTATTTTACACTCAAGATTATATAGTTCGATTGATTATGATGCATCCTCACTTAATATATAGATTTGCCTCATAAATCCATCTGAATTTAATTGTTAGCACTGTATATTTATGAAAAATTGCAATGCATTTCAAATGTCGGCCATGTTGGACTATTACGTAGAGATTACGTAGTGAATGCAAGGGATAGTTCTTTATCCGATTGCGCATAAAAAGGAACACGTTACCCTAACTATTTTACTTTCGATATTAATTAGCGCATGATAGCTTATAAATATTTCTAAAAATCATTTGTTGAGGCTGTGACAAAAATTAATTTCGGTGCTAGGTTGACTCGTTTAAAATACATTTCTAGCTACCATATATATGATTATCAAAATTTATCGCTAAACGATCTACATGTAGCTATAAAGTTGTTAAAAACTTAAACTGATTACGATATTTTATTAAAGGTTTAGAAACGTTTTCATTTTGCGTGCGTTTTAGCGTGCGTATATCGTTTAGCGTATTTCGTTTAGCGTATATCGTTTTGCGTGCGTCTGCGTATTTCGTTTCGTTTTGCGTGCGTGTAACGTGCGTTCGTATAGCGTGTAACGTGCGTTTTGCGTGTAAACTGACACGTTCACCCTACTGTAATAATAATAATAATAATAATAATAATAATAATAATAATAATAATAATAAGCATAGTGTTATATAAATGTTTTTTGTTTATGATTTAATTGATAAGTTTGTACTTTCAAGTTAATTGCGTCGGTTGATCACTGGTTTGCTTTTATACGTATTACTTAAAATCGACTTATATAATAACTTTTAATTGAATTATAAATTCTGTTATTTAATACAGATATGTGGGAGGTAAAACGCCCAAAGACAACAAACCTAACGTTGAGATTCCAACATATTATAACACTAGAACTGATTTCGAAGCTGTAAATGCTGAGTCAACTGATGCGACTAAAAATTACGAGAGTTTGAGTAATGACAGGACCACGGATAATGTATACAATGGTAATTGTAATGTGTTTATTTGATTTACCTAGAATTATGATATTACTTGAGGTCATCATTGTTGTTCACAATTATTATTTATTATTATTATAATTATCATTATAATTATTATTATTATTATTATTATTATTATTATTTATTATATTATTATTGATTAATAAATTAATGCTATATTTATTTATTTACTTCATTATTTGTCTTTTTATTCATCTTTTTTCAGATCTAGGAACAGCATTGTCATCGACGTAGGAGAAATCAGTTTTAGTGATTTACTTGTGAAAACAACAGAATGAATTTGTTGGTTCTGAGGTGGTTGATGCATATAATTACTATCCTTATATAATCCCCTTGAAAACGGCTTATATTCTTAATAAGCTAGTTATATTAGGGAATAAACCAAATTTCCTTATCCAATATTTTAACATGTGAAATACGACTAATGTGTTTTTCAAAATTACTGTACCTTGTTATTCCTTATAAACGTTTTTTCTCGAATACTTTGATCCTGTATTTGCAATATGACATTTATACTTTGTTTTATAATGTGTGCTGATAACATGTATAACATTTTTCTTGAAAACGGTATAATTTAAACCAGAAATGTTTGTTGATAAAGTATTTGATCGTAAATACTTCTGCATGATAGTTCCAAATCAATTGTAAGTGTTAACCTACAAATTTGAATGACACAATTCGGACAAGTCTTATACATTAAATGCATCTTTACATATTTTATATTAAATGGCGGAAATTTTTAACGCCAACATTCGGCTGAAATCCAAATGCGACATTTGGTCGTATCGATATCTTTACTTTAAGTAAATAACAGTTAAAGCATCTATAAGTGTATATTTCAATAGATCATATCATTTAAATGTGTTTTAAATAATGTTTGTATAATTGGTATTGGCTTTCAAATCCTGATCACATGTTCGACATCTTTTAAGAATGGTCATCTTACTTTTTATCAAATATTGTTTTTCATTGTTTTATATAGATTGTTAAAATTGCTTCAATAACGATACTTCATGTAAACAAAAATTAAAATTATATGGTATTCCTGTAAGTTAAACGTTTTACCTGTGATGTTAATTGTCTAAATAGTAAATATGTAGAAGATCCGGTATATTGTTACAAATTCAAAAAATATGATAAACAAGATCAACAAGGAATGGCGGCGTTCAATGAACGCAACCCCCATACGACCCAGCAACAAGAACTATGAAGGCTGGACATGGAGGAGACACCAACACTGAACGCCGAACAATCCCTTGGGGATGAAAATATAACAACATTGATTGCATGTACGGGGAGACTTTTTACAGCCGCCACACGGCACAAACAACACGGTTGTGAGCATAAAATATAATAAACAAGATCAACAAGGAATGGCGGCGTTCAATGAACGCAACCCCCATACGACCCATCAACAAGAACTATGAAGGCTGGACATGGAGGGGACACCGACACTGAACGCCGAACAATCCCTTGAGGATGAAAATATAACAACTTTGATTGCCTGGTTTCTATATGCGTATATGCAAGGTTGTAGATCTGGGTATTATCAGTATAAAACCGGTTAAAAACGGTATATAAATTTTCGTCAAATTGCAATCATTGCTCGAATGTCATGTCAGAACATGTTAATTATACAATTATGGTTTTCATCTATATAAATTCGATGGGATGAAAACGGATTCCCTGAAGAAGAACGCCAAATAACATGTTCATGTACGGAACTGAAAGTGCGAGTTACCGTCCCTGCGTTCCTAAGTAGAAAACAAAGACTCAAATGCTCAAGTGAAAATAAAGATATATGTCTACATTGCAATGGTGACATTATTTTAGCAAAATGTCGTTAAATTAGCCATCCATTATGTACAGAAAGGGACAATAAAAGAACATGTGGACCTGCAAATGCATAGTCTTAAAACGAGTGTAAACAAAGCTCCTGGGGCGAAACCTAAAATAAGTTACAGTCAAAGGACATAATTATTCGCCACCCCTGACGTTCGCGCTACGCACCATATACATGTACCTTTTGAATTTAAGCTGCGCGCTATAAATAGTATAATTCATGTAAACAGGGCCAAAGTTCAATCAGTCTTTGGTGACGTAAAATACAGCTTAATAATTCGCTGCATTATTTACAAGTTTATTTCGTGGGCGTTTTTAAAAATGGCCCCGAAAACAAAAGAATTAAGTAGGGATGTACGAGAATTGGTTATAAATAGTTATAAGGAGAATAAAAATCAGTCAGAATTGTCAAAATTACTGGGTATTCCTAGATCAACAATTAAAAGTGTAATAAAGAAATATCGACAGTTTGGAAGTGTTGAAAATCGTAGTGGGAGGGGTAGAAAAAAATATTTACGGAACGAGATAGAACAAAACTTTCTCGGATTATAAAATATAACAGGAAAAGGACTTTGTGAGATGTTACGGATATGATGAATACAGGTATGGATCGAACTTTTTGTGATAAAACTATTGAAAGAAAAAATCATGAGTTGGGGTTTAAAAGGAGGGCTTTTCAGAAGAGGCTGGTTGTTGGCAGGGGTAGTCGAAAAAATTGGGTAAAATGGTTTAATGAAAGAAAACATTGGACTGTGGAAGAACACTGGAGTAAGTGGATATTTAGTGATGAAAGTCAGGTGGTCATCGGGAAGAAAAACAATATTATCATTTGGAGGAAAGACGACGAAAAATATAAGCCTCACTTAGTTTGTCCCGCTCCCAGGGCTAAGCTTAGTGTTATGGTCTGGGGATGTGTATGCTTTGGGGGTATCGGAACTTTGACTGCTGTTGAGGGTAATATAAATGCACAGATATATGTAGATGTGTTAGACAATAATTTATGACCAGTTATTGCAAGGCATTTTGGAAATAATGACTATGTGTTCCAGGATGACAATGCCCCAGTTCATAGAGCAGGATAAGTAAAAAATTATTTAACAGAAAATGATGTAACTACAACATCCTTGCCAGCATACTCTCCTGACTTAAATATAATAGACAACTTTTGGTTACATACAAATCAAACGACGATTGAAACACCGCGTAAGTTACAAACATACCCGCGAACAGCTGTTTGCCGAAATTTCACATATATGGGAAAATATATCTCTAGATCGTGTACAATGTCTTTAGAGAACAATTCCACATAGAATTAAAGAAGTAATAAGAATGAAAGGAAATCTGACAAATTATTGAGGAAGATGATTACTTATGATCCTGTAATGACCATTTCCTGTTTGTTGCTTAAGATTGCGTAATTGGCCGCCATTTTGAAAGTGGCGAATAATTATGTCCTTTGACTGTAATTATGTGACAGGAAACATGTAAACATGTACTGAAGGATGCAAAGATGGATATCTGGTAGATATATATTTTCAAAATAGTACAGGGGTTCGTGTATGTATATACCGGTTTCTATAAACACGTATATTATGGATATAATAATAGTTGTACAACAAAACATTTTTTACCTAAAATATTGATACAAAATGTCGATAGATTAAGATAATTATAGGACCTGATAAGCATTAAGAATAAATACTAGAAAGCGAGCATCGGTTTGTCAATAAAAAGACAACGCAACAGAGTACATATTGGTTAAACCTTAATTTGATAATACTTTCCTGAACTTCTGAAAAGAATATATAATATTAATACTCCGATATATCATGAAACATTCTGTTAAATTTAAATAAAACTAAATTAGGCTCTCTAGTTCTTGCATGTACCTTTACGTGGTATAAAATATTCATGCAAGTACATATACTGAAGTTATTATCACTTATCACATCTACGTCACGCATAATTGACCTCTGTACACTTTTGCTGACATTTTGCTTATATTTTCATTGTTAAGTTGAGATTACTTAATTCATTATATATTTTCAAGAGTTACTAATAGTGATTGTCCAACAGTTGATACTGGAACATGTTTAAGTACCTTACATGTAAAGAGACTGCCGAACTCTTTTTATAAATATATGTAATAGATAATTTCAGACGGAAATCTTTATAAACCTACTCGGGCCATGTGTGTTATTTATCGTCCATGCAAAGTAAATTTGTTTACTCAATGTACACCTTTGGAGGGGCATTTAGATTTGACAATAGCTCTATCAACGCTATATACTCGTGTATGATAAAGCTAAAATGGTTGTGAAACGTTTTCCTTTTCACTGACCAAATACGGTCATATAGCATGTATTTTTGGTATACAGTCGAAAGACATTAAATGAAATATGTCGTGTTCGATTTGTTGCATGACAATACTTCGTCAACGAAAGCGGCCATTGTACGAGAATATCTGAAACAATGACAATGTTAAATATTTTATCTGATTTTGGCCTCCGGCCCATACCAACAAAACATATACATTACAAGCATAACATGGTGTAGTGCCAGTGTACTATATAGATCAAATACAATTTATAACTACTAGTAATAATGTATATAAAGTGACAGAAATAAATTATTCTAACATATATGTGTAGTATTCACCCGCCTGAATGTGTAGATACGTAAATAATTACATATTTGAACTATATCATTTAGCACCATTTTACGTTCTTAAACACAGCCAATCTCATTATAATATCTACATTTTTCGATGACCTTAAAATATTGAACTTATTAATATTAGGTGACTGATAGAATTTAGATGGGATATATTTCTCTCTAAAAGAGGTTAATCTGGGACATTTTAAAACAAAATGAAATTCAGTTTCAATTTCAGTATTACAAAGTTTTCATATCCATAAGTCATGTGAAGAGGTCCTTAATGTACCCAATGCATTTCTAATTTTTTTTAATTGTTATACAATCCAAATATATTTCATGTTCAAAAGTTAACTTATAATTTGCATACAATGACAGTTTAGAACTATTTCCCACATCAGAACCCAAGTTTGAAGATACTGATCTTTAAGTCTAAGAGTAAATTGATGAAGGAATTATTTCTCATTGGGTACACTCTGATCAAACCAAATCTGCCCAAATCCATTTCTCATAAGTAAATGTTTAACATATGTAACCCAATTTTTTTGTCCATAGTTATCAAAACATTTCATCATATTGTATGCTTTTTTTACATATCTTTGTTCATCCATCTTTAAGATTCTACACCAATATTTAATAACTCTTTTAGCAATTGTAATAAACATTGGATATCTGCCATAATCCCCAAAAATAGCTATATTAATTGTTTTTTGACTAAAGCACATATATCTTT